TTTCTAGCAGTTTATTTTAATTTATATTGAAATATTAATAATTTATTACTCAATTAATTAAAATACATATTATAATTTAGATTTATGCAAAAATTTAATTACTGGAAAAGTACCTACATAAGTAATTGAATATTTCAATTTACAATTTAAAATTTAACAACTCAAAATATAGATTTAATTAATTTTATTGTCATACTTAATGAAGTTGTAAAAAATTAATTCGTCTACGTCAGTGATTCCCAAAGTGGTCTATATAGACCCCCAGAGGTCCATGAAGACCTGCTAGGGGTCTACAAAAAATATGAATTTAATTAAATAAGTATTAAGGGGGTCTATCAAAAATTCAAAAATACTACAATTGGTCTAAGAGGGGGAAAGTTTGGGAAAGTCTGGTCTACGTCCTATAATTGTGTTGAAAATCAATTATAAATACGTAATTAAAATGGGCACGTGTTATTAAAAAAAAATTATAAAAAGTTAAAATAAAAGATTTCAAGTTTGTTCGGTACTCAAGCAAAATAAATACAAAAACTCAAATCCATACAAAAAATATATAATTTTTGAAAGAAAATTTTTAAAAACTTAGTCAATTTCTTTAAAATATTAGAAAATAAATTTGCCAGTGCTCAAATTTAAATATTCTTGTATTAAAGAAATTTAAGCTAAAATTCTCCAATAAAAGGTAAAAAAATAAGATGAAATTTTTTGGAAAATTTATAAATATTGTTAAGTAAATTTTAAACATACGTCCAAAAACTTTAAATTGGCACAAAATTTGCTTTCATGTGCCAAATTTTTCTTAAAATGAAAAAATGATTTTAAAAATAAGAAATACATTAGCGGCAGGTAAATTATTATTAGTGTTTGTCACACAATACTTCTAGTAAATATGACCACCACTTAAGATACTTCAAAGCTTCGCGATCAAAATATAGGTATACTTATTATATTTACCTATTAAATGCTTATAATTATAAATCAATCTTAATTTCCTAATTTAAGGAAACATGTTACTTCGTTAAATATAAATAAATTAATATAATACATTCCGAGGAATTTTCAGAAAAAATATGTGTCCTTAAAAGAGATACTTACAAGAAAGTAATAATTATTTTATCATAAATAAGCACCTATCTATATATAAAACTATAAAACATGCTCAACTAACATTATAATTATTAGTCACTCTAGTTTATCAAAACAAGATCCTAACTTAATAGGAGAATAATACTTATTATATATTTTTAAACTTTTTTATACTCATAGTTATTCATTATATTTAATGTTCCTGTTATCAAAATTTTGTATTATCAAACCAAATGAATATTATCAAATATATTTATCAAGTTCAGCTATTTTGTAACTATGCTAGTTGCTTATCTAAAACATTTTCCTTATATTTAAGTAAGTATACTAGTAAAATAGAAACCTATGTACGTATAAGTATATAATATATAACACTACCAAAAACACGTATCAATCATGCAGCATGAAGGAACATGAAATAGGTTCTTCGTGTGCATAGTATAATATTTTTCAACTAAAAATGAAATAAAAATATATTACTTAAATTTATTTAATCATAAGAAAAAAATTTATACTACCACATTATCATTCCACACTAGATTTTTCATAAAATCCAACAATTAATTAGACGAATAGGTGGTACATTCAAAATTAGCTTTGCTGGACAACTTTTATCGCTTCATTATTCAACTGATACAAATATTGTTTGAGCAGATTATGTAGATAATGGGCATTTATTATGTTCACCTAGGTACATGCTTATGCAAAATCAATTCGCTATTCCTTTCTCAATTGATTTATTGTAATTATCACATTTTTCATAAAATTTAATATATTCTATAAATTACACTATAACTACAATTTTATAAATTTTAAATTATTTTATTTGAATGGTCAATCTTAGTTCAATATTAAAATAAACACTCATAATAATATTTTTTTTTTTTTTTTGTTATCACTATTACCTACATACATCATGTGACATCTGCCAAAATTTAATTCTAATTTTATCTCTGAAAAAACCAATTACTAATAATATTAAAATCTGAGTACAGCTATGAAAGTAATATAAGAGTAGAGTCAATAGAGTAGTTTACACCTAAAGTATTCATTAAATGAGAATTGATAAATTGTAATTAAATAACTTTTATGTTCTTTTTCAATAATTTTATTAGGATATTATAGGTATAAGTTTAAAATAAATACAAACATTAATATCAAGTTATAACTATTATGTAAAAATATACTTAATAAGAAAAATATAGACCTATATAATATCATAGACATATGTGTGTATTTATATGTAGTTTATTGTACGATTTAAGTAGGTATAACTAAATTTTCAAAGTCTTTATATATGTACATATGTACATGGGTAAGTGAAATATGAAAAGTAGAGATAGGTATGCAAGTGCCTACATCAAATATCAGCACAAATTTCTAATAGTTTGTGAAATAGTTAATGATTTATTTTTTAAAAAAATTTTTGTGCAATTCATTCAAAAAATGATTTTAATTATTAAAAATAATTTTTTGATTACTTCTTATTACATTTGACAATCTATTTTATCTTATTTTCAAGGTACTGCTAAATAAAACTCATGACATGCAAATCAAATGGTATACAGGTCACTTAAAATATAGAATAAGCTGTAAAGATTTGGATTCTTATTGTGCATGTATGTATGTATGTATGTATGTATGTATATATAGGTAGGTACCAAATATATATTTTACGTGTAATTATAAAAAATGACAAAAAAAAAAAATACTTACCGTTACTAGAAATTTTCCTTAATGTTTCCAAAAAGTTAATAAAAAAAATCTTTTTGTTTTATTTCAAAAATTGATCGAATTTTTTTGTATTGTTTTTGAAATTTTTTTAATTTATATGGGAACAATATTATTTTTATTTACATGGAATAAAAATTTTTTAATGCAAACCACCAAAATATTTATTTAAATTTTCTAATTCTTTTTAATAATAAGTTAGTTAGTCACAATATAATGTAATCAAATATAAAAATTTTGTGTGTAAGCTGAATTTTCTTTTAAAATTTCTGGTGAAATAAAAAGAAAAAACTGGAAACTGAAAATAAAACTGCACTTTTGACAAAATACCGTACACTATTTTCGGAAAATTATTAAATATTTATTCATTGGTTATATGTAGATATCCACATGCTTATTTTTTAATTTGGATTATTAGGTATGTTATTTCAATTTTGGAAATTTACTTGAGAATAAAAAAATCAATAATTTTTGCTAAACTTTAAAATACACTTTAAGCAATATTATATTAAAAAAAATATAGGGTTCTTGACGTGTTAATGCTTAAATTTTTGTGTTATAATTTTCATAGAATTTTATTAAATTAAAATTTAATTTAAAAAGTAAAGTTGAATGAGCATTTAGCACCGATTCATAAAACAAAAATCTTTTTTTCAATTTGTTTTTTTTTTTTTTTAATAGTAGCTCTATTTCTTTAAGTAGTGATTTTTTTTTTATTTTGACATTTTATACAATTACACCGATTTCAACAATTGATCAAAGAGGACTAAAATAATCTAGCTGACTTTTATATGTAGGTCTGTCTGTGACTCCGTGCTATTAATCTCTCTTTAGAATCAAAATTTTCTCTTTATTTTGTATGGATTTTTAGTATATAACTTATTCACTACTTTATTATTTAATATTAATTTAAGAATAAAATTAAATATTTTGCTGTTTATAATTTGATATTTTTTTTAGAAATTTTCGAATTGATAAAAAGGAAAAAAAAAACAAATTTATTTACGCAAAATTCCACAATTGTACAAACACCACCGAGCGAAAAAGTCGTAAATTTGACATTTAATAAGAGAAAAAATTCTTGTTTAGGTTTTTGTTTTTTATTTTTGTCAAAAAAAAAAAACAAAAAAAAAAGCAAAATGTCAAATGTCAGAACTTCAATAGCTAACCACATACTCTGAAACTTTTCATTATAGAATGATAAAAATGTATAAAAAAAATAGTATTGCCACCAAGATTTTTCTTAATATTAATACTCTGAAAACGAAGTGTTTACAGGTTATACACATTATGATTTTTAGCTTTTAATGTTTTTGGTTTAAGGGAAGTATCCAAATCCAAAAGTATTTTAGTAACTAAAAATGAGAGCAAATTTCATATTAACTGAAATTTTTATTAATTGCAAAATTATTGACTTTCCTGTACTCATTATAATAATTTCATTGTATTGTACAATGAAAATAAAGACGAAAAAGTTCATAATATTTAAACTACCGGCATTTATAAGCTAAATTCTGCATTAACACAATATTGTAATCGCAATCTCAGGAGTACTCAATTTATCGGCGTTCATGCGAGCTCTTACGGTTACTTATCCATCTTATTGATGTAAATAAGCGTTATGCTACGGAAATTTAGCAGCAATATTACCCTTTATATGAATTTTCTTCTATATTTAGCAAGTTATAGCATAACAATTAATTTTATTTTACAGGCTCTAAAATTTTTAAATCACAACTTATACCAAACTTTTCGGTAGAGGGTTAATTTATAACTATTTCATATAAAAAAAAACCCATCCATATTTTTTTACATATATTACATCAAGCTGTTGATTTATAAATCCACTTAATTATTGCAAATGACCAACATAAAATGATTTTGAGATTTTTTCGTTAATAATTATCTTTCCAAATAAATTTGAATTTTTATTATGTCAGTAAATAATAACTACATATCTATATTACAAATAGAAGAATAAAAATTATAGAAATGTTTTTTAACTGAAAACTGAAAAAACACTTTTTTAATTGAAAAACTGAAGTTATTGGTATAAGTTTGTGGGAAATATTTTCATAAAGGATATTCGATCCAAAGAGTTTTAAAATTCAAATAATGACGTATTAGTAATGAATCTTCTTATGTGTATAAACATTTTTTATTATAGCACTGAAAACAAGTGTCTCTCATGATTTACAAAAACGGCATCACAGTGAAAATTTGTCAATGTCAAAAATATTTATTTCCAAAAAGAAAAAATCATGTAATGTTTTTAATAATTTCTTTAAGCTTTTAAAATGTCGTCGTTATATTTAAATATGAAGGAAATCATGAAATGGGTAAGAGTAAATACAGTGAATCAATAAATAGTATAAAGTAGCTGGAAATAGAAAAATTTTTTGTGTAAGCCCCTTGCTGTCATTTTTCGCGTTCATACAACTCCATTTGTAGTTATCTAATCGACCAATATGGAAGCAAAACGATTAAATATATAGAAACTTTGTGTTAAGTAATCGCGAATACAGTTTTTAATAAACAAAAATGCCAGTTGACATTCATGATCATATGCATGATCATATTCATGTAAATGAAAATGCTCTTGTGAAAAAAGATGACCACCGCCAAATGAAACAAATGTTTGCTGGCGGGTTATCAGCTGCATTAACTCGTACCGCATCTCAACCTTTAGACGTACTTAAAGTTCGTTTTCAGCTTCAAATAGAACCTGTAAAAGAAACAAAAACTTCTACAATTTCAAAATACCGAAGTATAAGTCACGCTGTATCAACAATATATAAAGAAGAGGGCTTCTTAGCGTTGTGGAAAGGTCACAATCCTGGACAAGTTCTAAGTATAATGTTTGGAATTGCACAATTTTGGTCATTTGAGCAATTCAAATTGATAGCAAAAGAACAAGAATATTTGAAGAATTCACCTAATGCCGTTAATTTTATATGCGGTGCCTTTTCTGGTGGTATAGCAACTTTTTGTGCTCAACCTTTGGATGTTCTAAGAACTCGTCTGATAGCGCAAGATCATGGTGAAGGTTATCGTAATTCATTTCATGGTATGAGTAATATTATAAAAACCGAAGGTATACGTGGCCTATATAGAGGTATAAATCCGTCTTTAATACAAATTATGCCATTGATGGGGACAAATTTTATGGTGTATAAAATGCTTAAAGATGTAATAGCTAAAACCTTAAAAATTGATCCAGTTGAAATACCATCTTTAGCTTTAATGATTATAGGAGGTATCAGTGGAACTGTATCTAAAACTATAGTTTATCCATTTGATTTGGTTAAAAAGAGGCTTCAAATTCAAGGGTTTCACAAGCATCGTAAAACTTTTGGTAAAAATGTTGAATACAACAGTATCTTGCATTGTTTTCGTTTAACTGTTGCTCAAGAAGGTTTTTTAGGGCTTTTCAAAGGAATGACACCAACATTATTGAAATCGGGTTGGGTAACCGCTTTAAATTTTTGTTTTTATGACAAAATTATCGATATTTTACACTGATATTATCGGTTTACATCAAGAAAGATTCTGCATCACAAATCTTAGAAATCTTAATTTTTATTTTATTTATTTTGACTACTTAAATATATTTTTTTTTCCAACAAATTTAATTTATTTTTACATACTATAAAGAAAATTTAGTTTTATATACTACAAAAAAAAAAAATTAAATAAAACACAACTATATTTGAAAAGTGAAAAAAAAAAAATAAATCAATTATGGTTGTGATAAGTTTTCAGTAATGTGTTTTATTTTTTATAATATAGTTGTTTAGCCCTGATAAACTTAACCTTATCAAAATTGAAAGAAAATTTTGAAAAATTGACTATTTCAATGGTTCATAAATTTGTTGTTATTTCACAAATACTACAAAATTATTAAGACATGTTTGGCAAATTATTGATTTTTGTGTTATAGTTAGGAACACATTCTTTTTGTGTGTTTTTTTTACATAATCATAACTTATGTATATTTGAAGAATATTTAATAATTATTGATTTTTGTTATTTTAGCAAGAGGATGCTAACAGAAAAATTGAATCAATTGCAAAACAATTAGAAAGTATTGATAAACTTGTTACAAACAATTTGTCTGGAAGCGAAGCTAGTGATAGCATTATGGAGCTATTAGAAATTATTAGTTCAATTGAAGTGCAGCAAAAAAACTTTATTGAAAATGCAAATTCCATAAAAGTAAAGGAAGTACAAGATATGTCAGATGAATTAAAATTCCATATACAATTATTAGAAAAAGATTTGGAACTTTTAAATTTAGAAAATAACAGTTAAATAAAACAGTATTAAGCTTCGAAAAGTACTGATTACTTAAAATATAAAAATAAAAAATCATGATATATTTATTTTTAAAATTACAAAAGAAAAAAAAATTAATAATTCTTTTATAAGAAAAATATTCATTTATTTTTAAATACATTATAAAAATATTCAGTTATAAATAAAAAAGGAACATTGAAATAATCTCTTATCCAATCATATTACACATTTCGTTATTTTTTTGGTTTAAAGCCAAAGTTTTACCAGGGAGTTTGGTAGTAATTTTAATTACATTAATTTCATTCTTTTTTTCTCCCAAGATTTGAAGAGTATTTTGAATTCGATGTCTACAAAAAAAAAAAATGTGATAAATAAGTACATAGTTATTAAATATTTACAAATTACCTTAGACTAGATTTTGGTTTTTCTAATTGTATACACAATTTAATATCTGAGTAAAAATCAACATCTGCATTGACGTTTATTTTCGGATTTGATTCAGTTAAAAATTCATTTTTTATTTTGATAAATGATGAGCCTAAAGTTAAAGAACCCAAAATTACTTCTCCAGATCTAAAAATAATATAAACATGTAAAATTAATAACATAATAGTAGGATGACATACTTTTTGATAATTTCGGTATGAGCATTACGATTCCATAAACTAAATTCAATTTTTCCATTTAAATCTATAGATTTTGCACCAACAATTTGCATATATATTGTTATTCCATTTTGCAATAAAATATATTCTTCATGATCTTGCTGAATTACTGTAGCTTTATATGCTGTGGTAGGTTCACTTGCTGTTCCACTCCAAACATGTCCCATTAGTTCAGAGTGACCATTAAAAAATATTAATGGTCTTAAATGAGTATTTTGAATTGTGATTTCCATTCCAGCTTTAATTTCTTGTGATTCTTCTTCAACTTCTTCTTCGCTATTGGAAATGAAAGTAGATAAACCAGTGGTAAAAAGCCCAAGCTAAAAATAATGTTTATTAACTATGTATTTACATTTATATAATTTTTAATATATAAAAAAAACTGATTATTTTTTGTATGTACCTTGAATGTACTTATCTCGCCCTTTTCAGTTTTCAAAAGATAATCAACGTCACCTTGTTTGAGTACGCCGTTAAATATTTCTTGTGCACTCAACAGACTCTCATTAAAGGCTGGTTTAACTGCCAAATTTCGTTCCAGAACAGAAGAGAGACCTATGTGTTATATATAAATACGTTAACATGTTCACACTTTTAAAGTTTTCTTACCTTTCTGTCCAAGCAAATTGTAATTATATAGATCTGGTCTATTTTTTAAAGTATCTTCAAACAATAATTTGAATTTCGGGCACTTTGAAGCGAGCAAATTAAGTTTTTCTATTGTATATCTTTTAATCTCGAATGCTTTATCATTTGATCCGACATATTCTAATAAATGTGTAAGCTCAGTTTTAGATGGTTTCATTGACAATAAAATATCTAACGCTGATATTCGAGCTGTGGAATCAAATTTTTGAGAAATTTGATAAAATATTTTTTCAAACAAATTTCTATCTTTCTTTGTAAACAGTTTTACATTAAAAGTTTTTAAAGCTTTCATGGCTTGAACTGAAGCTGAATTATCCTGTCCTAAAGCAATTTCAAGTAATGTTGGGATAGTAGACGGATCTTTTAAATTTTGTAGACCACGAATATAAACAGATTTACATTTAAAATCTTGACAAGTATTTAACTTGTGTAAAATATAGTCTTTAATTTTAATAATAATTGAGTCTTCAAACATATCTGGACTTATAAAACTATATTTATGTGCAATAGACGCTAAAGTTTGTAATAAGGTATCGTACAACTTTGAATCATCATGATCAGAATATTTTAGCATAAGAATATCATATAAATCTAAGAATATAGATTTTTCTGGACGACTAGCTATCGATAATGCTTGTAAATAACGCTCTATTATTTCGAAATCGTCTTCATTTTCAAATTGAAAAACTTTCATAATTGCAATATGTGCATCCATAGTTTGGGTAGCTCCCATAAGATCAACAATTTGATCAAGATTTTCAGCCATTTTTTTTGATTTTAATATTTTTTCGAATTCGTTAGTTTTAGTTATTCGAGAAATTGGAAGTAGTTGTGCAAATATGTACGCAGTAGACAATTTACCGATGTTCAAATTATTCATTTCCTCTTGGTAGGCCAACAAATGTGTTTTTAAATTAGAATTAATTTTAGAAATCTGACCATCAATATCTCCTTCAACATCGTAGGATTGAAAAGTTTTGAGTTTATCAATAATATCATTATGTGAATCAGATAATTTTTGTTCAGAAATATCTGAGGCTACATGATCAATTACAATATGAGATTCAATTTTTGAGCCAATATCATTTTTAGAAGCAACATTTATATCATGTATTTCTGTAGCATCCACACTACGTAATATAAAATCCTGAGTAAGCTTGTAATGTATATCTTGCCGTGATGAAAGGTTAATATCTAAAAAAAATTTTTAAATAATGATGTTAAAATATCAAAAATTTTAGGAATAAACTACCCATAGCACTTTCATATCTTCGTCCAACTTTTAAATTCCAGCCCCTACAAGAAAATTTCTTTTTCGTGAAATAAGTTGAAGATTTGAAATCGTATAAAACACTACATATTCCAAGCAAATCACTCTCATGTGTTATTTGTGCATGATTCTTAATTTGTACTTGAAAAATACTACCTAAACCTCTTTTAAAATTAAGTGAAAATGCATTTTTATCGTCTTTATGTGCGAAAAACTCTTTAATTTCACCTCCACTTAAATAAAGATAAAACTCTAAATGCTTCAATTTTCCTAAATCAGGAATATTTTGAGATTTGTACTGCGGGATGTCATTTTTATTTCGTGATATTATTGTTCCAATTTTATTGAAAGGATCTAGTTCAAAATGTAATAATTGTGTTTCTCCTTCATTTGTGTGCCATATTGATGACACTTTTAATAAAGTATTGAATTCATAGCCCGTTAGGTATGATGTGTTTCGGATCTCTTTAATATTTACCTGGTTTTTTATTTGATATGTCTGTTTCGTTCCAATTGGTATTAGCTGTGCCAGTACAATAGAAACTTAAAAAGAAATAAAAAATGTTATACAAAATTAATATTAACTATTAACAGAGAAGGAAAATCATATACTTAATACACCACGAGGAAAAATTTTTGTATTTTAATTTGTTGATAACATCGTATGCATGCACAAAAAATCACACTTATATTCAATTATCTCTAAAACAGAATAATAATAAAAAATCAAGTGCGATAAAAACTAAACTGAAGTCAAAGGATCTAACTGAGTTATTTATTTTGTTTTAATTTTGTTTCGTTTACTTAAGAATGACTACTGAACAACAATATTACAAAAAGTTACAATAAGACACCTTACTACGTCTATGTAGTTATAAAAAATTAATAAATTCTTATCACATACATAGAATAGAGTCAATGAACGTTAAATAATTCTAAAAAAAAAACTTACCGAAAGTTAGTGCTATGTAGAAATATACTAAAATTGTATTGGATGCCATGGCTCACGAACCTTATTGTTAAATATCTTAAAATAAACTGAAAAAAACTAATAGTTTTAATCTCCTAATAAGCATATTATTACTTATTAGTTTGAGTTAAACATAATTATCAAATGCAATTTCTAAAACTGATAATTTAATAATTTCTTTTTATTGTTTTTATTGACTAAATGTCATTTCTTGCCCAATAGATAGCGTATGGAAATATTGTTTGTATGTCATATTTATTGTTATTTTAACATTGGTTTCATTCAGCAGCTAAACTATTCATTTACATTTGATTGCAAATTTCTATATCAATTCCGAAGAAGAAATATTTAATGTATAATTTTATCGCACATATATAATCGGATTGTTAATAAGTTTAATGCTAACTGAAAATTTAAAAATTAAATAATGTCAATTAAAAACCAAAAATTTTATGTCAAAAATTAATTTTCGAAAACCAGTTTGCACTTTTTTATTTTTAACAATTTTAGAAGAAACGTAAATAGATCCCTTTACGAATCAAAAATTAAAAAAAAAACCAATCCGTTCTTTTATAAATTTGTGAATATTGCACTTCATTAAAAAAGATTACAAAAACAAATTTCATATAAAATCTTTGCAAAAATAGCTGAGTAAGTTTTTGACAACATCAAAGTATATTATAAAATTAATACTTGTCAAAAAATCAAATAATTTTTAATGAATAAAAAAAAAACACTCACGAGACAAAATTGATTATTTTATAATAAGATTACAGAGTTAAAATTTAAATCATATCTGTTTGATATAAAAATTGACGTAATTTTTCCCAAAAAGAAAAAAATTCTCATTTCACAGAAAAGTAAACAAGCAGACGATAAAGTTAAAAAAGCTTTTGAAAACTTTATAAATAATTGATATACGTCAAATTTCAAAATATTCATCGTACATAAAAAAAAATATGGTTTTGGTTATCGAAAATTTTGATTTTGGATTGTAAAAGTACGAAAACTTGGAAAAAAACATTTGTGAATCTATTTAGTTTATTTTATTTTTAATGAAAAAATTTTGAAAATTTTTATTTTTAAATTAAGTCATCTGATATAACCAAGAAAGCATGTGTCTTGACAACATTAAGATTAAAATTTTAAAATTTAAGTTTTTTTAACGTGTTAAATTTTACACTATAAAACTTAAGAAAACTTTAAACATTGAGAAGTTCTTAAAAACTTTCTTGTAGACAGACCTATAGTTCTTCTTTAAAAAGGAATGTATGATTTCGATTTTAATTATGTAAACATTCGCCACTAGATGTCACAATATTATTACAGAACTGAAAGTGGACAAATCATAAAAATATGTAAATATGTATTTGTTAATGACATATAAAAAAACCGTATAGATTCATAATTTAAACTTTAATGTTTTAAAACATAGCATGTAGTTCACATTTTGTAAAAAAAGAGATCCCCTCTTTATCTTAATATGGCTTTTCTAAAAGTTTTAAACGATTTTAATAAGATTTTGGCTTTCTAGTGATTTTTATATTCATAGAGTTTTAAAAAATTGATAATTTGTTCTTGCTTCCACTTTCTGGATACTTGCTATCGATGACTTTTTTTGTTTTTCTTTTTTTCTTTATTTTCTTAACAATTTTAATTATAATTTTATTAACTTAAAAATATCTTACACATAACAGATCTTAGCCTAAGCTGATTTATGAAACAAAGATTTTAACAGATTTATGAAACAAAAATAATTTTTTTTCTTTTTTTTTCCCCCTTTTGAATTTCATATAATATACAAAAAAAAAGAAAAGAAAGAAAAAAAACAAAAATAAGTGATTTACTGTCTTTTTAAAATACATACGTATGTACATATGTATATAAAAAATTTTTTAAAAAAAAATATATTAAAGTAAGGATAATACACGCACACCTACTTACAAAAAAATAAATAAATAATATATCAATAAATTTTAACTAGGGTTTGAACGGTTACACTTACAGTGTCTGTAACGTTGCAGATTGAACAGTTGTCTAGTAATGTTGCAGATTGTAAGATTACAGTAACCTATGGTTTTTTGAAAATTTTTTGTTATTAATATTTTTTATTATGAAATAATTTTTTACATTGATTACATTTTTAATTAAACGAAGAGCTTTAAAAAAACTTAAATTTTAATTTTTTAATTTATTTACTTGTGCAATACTATTTTTAATTTGAATTTTTAAATTAAATTTTTATTTAAATGGATTTCTTTATAATTTTAAATTAATAATTAATAAATTTTTAATTTTTTTACAAAAATTATGATTTTTTTTTTACAATTTGCAAAATTTTTTTTACAAATCATGAATTGAACAAAACTAAGACAAAGTTACAGGTCACAATAACTGGTTAATGTAAAAAATTTGCAACTTCACAGTGGTTACTGTAAGTTACTATAACCATCCAAACCCTAATTTTAACATATTCATATACATAGATGTATATTTATACATATTTAGTTAATTATTATTCTTAAATAATTTACATTTCATTTCGTCCATCAAGAATTAAAGATATACAAAATTAGTTCTACTCTACATATATTTGTCAAACTTGAAAGTACCTATTTATCGGAATATAGCAAATCTGTTGGATGTATGAATCTGTTGGATTCTTTATGTATGATATCTAACTGATTTAAAGTTTGCTGGCTCCATGTATGTTTTAGGTATACAATATGTCACTTTATAAATGAAGAATATATTGTATAAAGAGTATTAGTGTAGAATAATCGCGCAGTCTACTCAATAAGGAAAGATAACGAGTTATTTTATGGATTATATGATGCACATGGTTAACCCACTTTAATTATCTACATCAATAACTAAGCCCAGACAATTAAAACAATTAATTGTTTCAATTATCTCGCTTCTAAAATGAAACTCTTCTAAAGAATATAGTTTATTATTCAGCAATATAATATTAGTCTTGTAATATTTAAACTCAGTTTGTTATTGGTATTAAATAAATCAATCACATTCAAGTAGTTTTCAATATTTCTTCTCAATTTAACCTCCGTGGTTGCTGAATATATCTTATAACTTTGATAAGAAACTAAAGAAAATATGGTATATTGTATATGATAGGAGTATTAAGCAAAGAATCTAAGGTTTACATTGTATTCCCAACGATCTCTATGACCAGCCGAATAGTATTAATAAATATTCAATAAAATAATGAGGTAAGCATAATTTCTTTCATTTATTGATTTTAAGTATACAACATTATGTTGCATTTTATTTTTAAAGTCTTACAAAATAAGGAGATACTGTTTAAAAGACACCAAATTTTACAAATAAATTTAAATTATTAAGTATAGCATTGAAATTTCTTTCGCAATAATGCGAAAGTAAAATATATTTTGCTAAAATTTATTGTATATGTATACATTTATTATTTCTCGAAATTTAATACACACTTTGGACTTCAATTTGCACTAGTCTTAAAATCTAAAAAAAAATCCTTGACGAAATATCTAAAACTTATTTTTAGGTCGAAATCAAATATGAATCTAAAGAAACACAATAATTACTTTGCCCATCAAATAAATAAAAAATTTTATAAGGAACTTAAACTAAAAACAAATATTAAAGGAATAACTATGTAACCTTTGCAATATTTTATTAATTGAATATACCTTTTTATGAAAATGACTCAATAGATTAATTAATATCTCTTTAACTTGACTGAAATTTACATTTAAGAAAGTCAAAAAAAAAAAAAATACCCGAAAAAATTATTTATTTTTTTTTGCTTCACTTAATATCTATAAAAAGATTGCGCCATGCCAAAATTTACTGGCCAACTACCAAAACCTTGATGCATAAACGAACTCGAATGTGTTGGATTAGCTGGATGATGAAATTGTAAATGATGAGCATGTGTTTGTGAATGTAAATCTAATCCGTTTCCTTGATAACTATCTGGAGGTGTTATTGAAGATATTTGTCTTGATGATAAACTAATAGAAGTAGCATTAGTTAGACCGGGATTCCAAGTCGCATAATTACTATTACATGTTATAGATTCACTATTATTAGAACTATTTGCATTCTGTTGTAAATGATATTTGGATTCGGACGCCTGTTGATGTTGATTTTCTGAGCTTGGTTGAGTTTCTAAATGAATATTTTGAGCATTTGTAGGTTTAATATCCTCATTACTATTACTATTACCCGAGTTCGGTCCCATCATTGTCGTTAAACTATTTGGAGTTGGTGGTAATTGCAAAGGATTATTATAGTTAACATTGATTCCAACAGGGCTTTCACTACCGTTACGTAATAAAGTTTGCTGTTGATGGTGAGAACTATGTTGTTGTTGCTGTTGTTGATCTTCAATAGAAGTTGTGTTACTTGTGGCTTGACAAACATAATTCGAATTTGTTGTTGAAGTTAAATTTGTTATGGATGTAGGTGAAGCGTTAAGATGATGAGATGGTGTTGTATGATGACTATTAATTGGTGTTGGAGGCACAATTACGTGAGCAGCAGCTGCAACTGATGATGCTGAATGCATATGTGCATAACTAGGTGTCGGATTATGAATTTGATGCGGTGGTGTTGTTGGAAAATGTAATGTTGAAGTATTGTGTAAATGATGACTTGATTGATAAAAGTCGTGTAATTGATGAGATGATGTCGGCCCGAATGCAGATGCATCAGTTAAACCTTGAGTCATTAGAGCGGGATATGGTGTTACACTATTACTAGTTGAATATGATGACAGAGTTTGATGTGATATTCCGGTTGACATAGGGGTGCCTGTTGATCCAGAACCCATTTGTTTGCGAAGACGTGCCCGCCGATTACTAAACCAAACTTGAATTCTCGCTTCAGTTAACTTTGTTCGTTGAGCTAGCTCTTCTCTCGTATAGATATCGGGATATTGAGTTCGTTCAAATGCTCTTTCTAATTCATCTAGCTGAAGAGCTGTAAAGGAAGTTCTTGAACGACGTTGTTTACGTTTTAATGGGATACCTGGCTCAGTGTCGCAATCAGACATGTCTCCATCTGAATGTTTTGAATCTACACCTATAACAAAATAAAAAAAATAAGGTGAAAACAATTTTAATTATTCGAAATAAATATGTAGCTATTTGTATATGTACCAATGACAATTCCTTCACAATAACAAAAAAACATATTGCTGACTCAGCTTAATTTTTAGTGATTCTTTTTTATTGTTTATTGTTATTACTTTTTTTCTTTTTTAGTGTTATTAGTCATTTTTAAAATATTTTTAAAATATTGCACCTAAAATTATAGGAGCATAGAGATCTATAAAATCATTTATAAAAACTAGTTATTTAGGCAAAAAAGTGCAAAAAGTTCACTATAACTATAAAGAGAAAAATGCGTAATAATAATTGCCGTATAAGTTCGAAAATACGCGTGCGTATTGAAGCAGTACATTATGACAATTACAATAAGAAGTTCCATAAAATCTAAAAAAATTTTGTTCTGAAAGGTCAATCTACAGAACCCAATTAAACTTTAAGTAATTCCCAGCAGATTGGTTAATTATTCCTAGTGTTTCTTAAGTAGATTGCTTATAACAAAATATAGATTTCGAAAATTTAATCAATCTACAACTATAAATACCTTTTCAAATTCCGAATGTAATAATTGTTTAATTGAGTGTTCCGATCAATTCAACAATCAATTGGTCAGTATATTTGACATTTTATTCTTTTTATTTACGAAATATTCATCAAAAATAAAGGAAAAGTTAAAAGAATTACGCAAGATCTAGGAAATAGATTCAACACTTACTTAATTAATGCTAATGTGCAAAAGTATACAACTATCTTATATATATTAGTTGCACTTATATTTAAATTTCCATTTATAAGAAATAAACCTATAAGTATGGCTTCGGGGAGGATTTGTTACCCCGGGGAGGATCTCGCAGCTTGATGTGACTACCATACTGCGGTTTGTCAGGGGCCTAGGTGCAGGACTAATGTAGGTTGGGATGGGAATCACAAAAGATCCTTTGGGTCGACGTAAGAAGAGCCTAGGGGCCTAGAAAAACAAAACATGGCATAAATGATAGATCTCAAAGCTCATAATTTTGAACTTGTTAATTATAAATACTTATACCCCATGCAAAAAGAGGCTCATAAATCTTCGAATTTGTAAAAGCTCTAAATAATTTATGTGCGGTTGAATTTTCCGCGATTTTTTTAGTTCATAATGTATACATTAAACAAAAAGAAACAATTTTTAAAAATTTGCTCTTTAAAATTAAATTAGAACTCGGCGGTCTTCAAACGTGTATTTATATGTACACATGCATGCACAAACACACAAAATAAATTTTCAAACATACACAAACAACTTCTATGGAAAAAAAACGTATATTGAATTCGTATGTGGTCTTTGTGGGCACACGAAAAAATAATTTTAAAATTAAAATAATTTTTTATTTAATTAACTAACATACAAATATATGTATGTATGTTTGTATGTATTGATAAAAGTAAACAATATTGTTATTGCTACTCAGTTTTTCAACTGATTCTAAGACTGAAGTTTTAAACATTTCGAAAAATATGCACTAGTTTAATAAAATCCCATTTTTTTGCTCAGTCATGTTGATTTCAATCATTAAATTTAGATCGCTGTGATGCTTTATTATGTGTATATAGTTTTGAAATATCATTTATATCTCATCAATTCTAATAATAATTATTAATTCGACAACTTTTCTATTTTTAATTTCAATTTAAAGTGCCACTGTTTTTTTTTTATTTAATCGTACCCCTTGATATTTGATAATTATTTTTTTTTTGTATATTTCTTCTTGTTTTATACTTTCAATTTTAATAATTTAATATCCGATGTCTTATTATTTTTTCATTTACCATTTTTCTTATTATTTAGATCATCATCAATACCATCACGGCCACGTAATAAACGAGAAATTGCACTAACGGATGGAGCTGTTGAACGTTCACATAAACCTTCTTTTATTAAACGATCACGTATTTCCCATGAAAATATACCAGGATTATCACGTTTATATTCTTCAATTCGATTTTCAACTTCTGGTGTTGCAACACGTGGCTTTGAACCACCGATTACACCTGGTCGAATTGAACCAGTTTCTTGATATCTGTTTAATATTTTTGATACACATCCATGACTAACTCTTAATTGACGTGAAATTACACATGGTCTTATACCCGATGCTGCCATTTCTACTATTTTTAAGCGAATATTATTTGGTAATGGTCTTCCATTAATAAATACACCACCTAATTGATTTATACGTCCTTGACCAGCGGACATATCACCTGAAAATAAACAAATTAAATTTATTACATTCAAAGTTGAGTTTAAGTTTTTTTTGTTGAGCAAACTAAAGAAAAAGTTTTAATTTTACATTCAATATTAAACAAAATTGAGAACACGAAATCTAAATAAGTGAGAATAAAGCATTAAATTTGTGCAGATCGAATATTATGAATAAATTTAGCGCAAATGCTGATGCTTTAGTCAAACCTTGAGTCATTGGAGCAGAATATGAAGTTACACTATTACTGGTCTTTAAAATTTTCACAATGAACAGAAAACAGGAAAGTATGCTTCGATTTGTGTTCTGCCCCAAAAAAGTAAAATCAAATAAGAGTAGTAAGTTTTTTAAAAATTGAAAGAGTCAATGTTTTTTACAGCAGAACTAATTGCAAAGTGCAGTTACTGCTAACGATATATTTAAAGTGAATGCAATAGGGATTTACAACAAGGCTCAAAGCCATTCAAGACCTAAAGTATTTTGTGTTAGACTCAACAATTTTAGGTAGCAAAAAGTTTCCTACCATAAAATTTGGGGATTTAAATAGTGTGAATAGAAAAAGTTCTTATATTACCAGTCTCAAGTTAAAGAATTCAAAAAACTAACAAATGAAAGTTTTAATTCGCTCATTCAGTTTCTTCTCAACCACTGAGCAGAAAGTAAAATTCACAATAAAGTATTCAACTAATGCAAAAAGAAGCCATATACCATGTTATCCAGCTTGTGATTAATGATTGGAAAGTTACTTCGTCCAAGATGTATAACAAATAGTCTTTTGCACATATTTCATATAGAAGAAGCAGAAGAGATCATTGGAAGCCAGCAGAAGGAACCATAAGTCCTGAAAAAATTGTTCGAATAGTAATGCCAAAAAAAGAGAAACCTAGTGCAATTATTTCAAGAAAGAAGCAATAACAAGCGGAAAGAAGACTCTAACATATCCAAACATATCAAGAAGATGCAGGAGCAATTTAAAATAAACAAGAAAACTGAAGGAAAACGCAAATTTTTGCGCACCATAAAGGTTGCATCCATGTTGGATTAAAAATCACTACGGAAAATTATTAGTGGAGAAGTTTTACACAACCATTAACTACGAAATTGTTTTTAAATAAAAAAGTTCTACAATTTTATGTTTTAAAAAATTATTAACAGTGCCCACCGTTGGTACACGGAATTTATATGCCACTATAAAAAAACTAAAAAACTGAAAGAAAAATCTGAAAAGTAACAATTTTCTGCTTTGCAGAACGGCCTGCAAGATATTATTTACATTTACACCTGATTTTTTAAGCATTTTTGGCGAAAATTCTACATTAAGTTGATAAACTTCCCAGAGTACCAACTCGTCTTATATAATATGTATACTTAAAAATTACAGAACCAAAGTCAAGATGACACAAAATATTTTGATTTAAAACAAAATAGATTTATACTACTTAAATTAAAACGCAAATGTAACAGCAGTTTTACACATTTAACAACTTAAACCTTTGTTATTGAACAATTCAAGCTGTTACTGGAAGTACATTTAGGTGTATGTCTTTAAAGGTTTAAATCATAAATATTTATATGATTTATACCTAAAGTGTTAGAGTACTAGATTTTAATTATAAGAATGTTTGGCGATCTATGTAAACTTAATCTTCAAAATTTCAGTCACTATATCTATGTTATTGCTGTTGGAGCAGTAAATATTATATTTTGTATATTAAGTATCGTTTACCTCACTCCAGTTTATTGAATACATGAAAACTAAAGTATGTATAAGAACGGTTTTCTAAGAAAAATTCTATAAGAAAATGCATTGAAAAATTCGGTAACCTCCATATTGGTTAATTTCACTCAATAAACGAATTTAACTATAATAAATCATGAAATCTTAATTGTGCCAAAACCCGATAAGGTCAAAGCTCAATAAGGTCAATCATTTTTAATATTATCCAATCAAAAATTTAAATTTTAGGAACCATAAGGAGTTCTGTGAATTCAAGCGATTGAAAAATTACCTTGAAAAGGGTATCCATTAAAACATGATCTGTGATGCATTGCCCCAAAACTGGTCACAGTCATCTTTTTAATTTTTCAAATATTTTAATTTTTTTTCTTTTGTTTTTTCAATTAAATTTTTTTTTTTTATAATAAACAATAATTTTTTATATATTTAAAATCACAATCTTTTATATTTTCTTATAATTTATTAATTATTTTACTATATTTCTTTTAATATATTTTCTTTCACTTAAAAAACATACATCATAGGTATATAATTAATATTTGACTACACTTAAACACACAATAATTTTTTGGTTCTACTAGAATTTTAAAAGTTTTCGAATTTTTTAATTAAATTTTTACAATACAAGCTCGATCACGATCCAATAATTTTCAATAACTGAATTACATGCACGCTATCTTTACTTAAAGATCATAACTAAATTATATTAGAAGAGAAAAATTTTGTTAAAAATAAAAAAAGAGAGAAGAAAATCGATTGACCGCTTAATATTGAATATAGGCGCTGCGCTGCGGCGAGTAAACAAATGTTTTGAAGAAATAAAGACTTCTTCTGCAATAGCAATGAAAATGAAAAATAAGATTTCAGTAAAGGGGCAGAGCCCCTTGCATGTTTAGCTATAAATATTATTTCCAAATATATTTTTTCTTTTTTTTTTTTTGAAAAGTTAATTAACATTTGTGTTTTTTGCTATTATTATTATTATTATTATTATTATTATTAAAAACGGAGTAATGTGAATGTATTTGTTTAAATAAAAAATTTTTAAACCTGAAATGTTCTATGATAGTATTTGAAAAGTCCGCCCATTTTTCGATTAATGTTTAAGTGTGTATATAGTTAATTTTATTGATCACTTGTTTTCAAGTTCATTTTTTCGATTGTGTGGTGTTTTTATAATATTAAATTTTATTTTTAATTTTTTGATTTCTTTTGGTTTATGAAGTTTTTATTATGCGGTCTTATATAGATTAATAATACAGGAATATGTTACGCCTTTAAATAATTTCATAGGCTGTGAATATGAATAAAAAGTAGTTAATGAAATAAATATAATGCAGTTTGTTTTCTCTTTTTATCTTATACCTATATTGAAGAAAATTAATGTGAAGATCGGTCGCCATAGAATTTGTTTGTTTTTGATTGAAGTTTTGGTTGTATGTGAGTGCAATACGTTGTAAAAAATGATTACAAAAAAAAAATTATATTTTATTTTACAATTTCTTCATTTTATATTTTGTAAATTTTATACGTACATATATATTTAAATATATCTATGTGTGTATTCGTATTAATCTGTAAATATTTGTATGTTTTTCATTTTATTTAATATATATATAGTATTTAAAGAAAATGGCAGTTTATTGCCATATTAAAATTGTTTAGAAAAGAAAAAATTAAAGTAAAAATATTTGTTTTTTTTTTTATATTCAGGTGAGTTTGTAATTTTGTTTAAATAAATATAAAATGTGCTCAATGTTGTGTCCAGAAATTAAGAATCAACTTAAAATATATATCTATATTATAAGAATCTTGTGCACTAAGAAAATTTATTTGAAGATCATCAATATTTGAAGTTGGCCGTTTTTTGTCTTTTTTTTCATTTCCCTATTATTCCCCTTGGGAATGTGGGACTTCAACATAGTCTCTCCAATTCTATCTGTTTTGTGCCAATCTCTTTATTTCTGCCCATGTTCTGCCTTATTGTTCTAGTTACTTATTCGCACTTCTTCTCCGGGTCTCTCGGCCTCCCCACATTTCTTCTTCCTTGTTCAAGAGCTTGACGACCAACCGATGTTGTTGGGCACCTTACAATGTGGCTAATCCATTTCCATTTTCTTCTTATTTCTGTAACTGCATATTAGCTTTCGACACTAACCATGTTTCACTTCCGTAAAGCAGCACCGACTTGACACATTCGTTGAATATTCTTAACTTGGTTCCTCGTGCTATGTGAGTTGACTTCCAGGTTAAGTTCAAGATAATTATCCCCTCTGTGGTTCTTGTGCTGCTCAGGTATTCAAACTCTGATACCTCTTCAAATGGGATACCCTATACGTAAATAAGGGCTCTCGTGTTATTAATTCTCATCAGCTTGGTCTTTGGTGTGTTTATTTTAAGACCGATTTTTTCAGCTTTTTCAGCCAACTTATTTGTGATGAGCTGCATGTCTTCGGCCGAGTGAGCCAGCAGCACGACGTCAACGGCGTATTCTAAGCTTTGTAACTTATGTGCGCCTAATGGTTTCGAAGGAACACTCGAAGTCAACGAAAGTTCTATCAGTAGAATAGAGAGCTGCTCTATTCTACTGACTGCTTAAATATCAATCTTATTGTGTTTGCACGTTTGGTGCAGCCGCGACTCTGCCGAAAGCCCACCTGTTCCTCTCTAAGATTAGATAACCTTTTATAAGGTAGTTTATTTAGAAATTGGCTTAGTCCAGTTTTTTGCAATTAAAATGTTGAAACATTTGACTTTATGTTTATTCTTTTTCTCAGCCTGTTTTCTTTTTTTTCTAATATAATTTTCAGTTCCAACTTGCAACTATTGGTTGGAAAATAAAAGACTTTTGAAATTGCAAATGAATTTAAGTCAAAATAAGTGGTTTATTCTAACTTTGTGTTCCGACCTCCCGACTTGAGATGACTGATGTGCTTAAATTTGTGGGGCCTAGCTATATAGCACTAATGTAAGTGAGAATGGGAATCACAAAAGATCCTATAGGTCGACCTCATACCTGAGAAGGACCTTAGTTCTTCTTGACTTGAGAAGATGTTGAAAGTTGAACCGAATACTGAATACGCATATGGATAAAGAAACACATTAGATATCGCTATAAGTCCGTTGAACGATGGTTATTTCAAATACTAATCTACAACGTCTTCAATGTTTGAATTGATTCATTCAAATTTAAAATATCAACAAAACTTTTACCACAAAATTGATTTTGATTTCAGAATGGTCCCTTATTATAGTTGTAACTA